CAGTCTTCTGTACAAATACCTACAACAGGGGCCAAAATCTCAGGGCTCACCATAAATCCTCGGGAATGGACCACACTGCAACCATCCAGCACCTCCTGAGAATAAGCAGTAGGAGATGAAAACTGGGAAAGCAGACAAAAAGCCCCATGTGTTAAATTATAAATCCTCTGATTTTGAGGGAGATCTCTCCCGAGACTTGGCGCCCAGCCATCAAGATGCATCATTCCCATCAGCTCAAGGAACTCATGGAGTGATTATGCTGCCCAGGACACAGCTTAGTCCAGACAGCATCCTTCAGTATTCATGGATAATTGCCCAGTACCTTGAAATAGGTCCCTGCAATACGGTGTAGACGTTGGATGGGGAAATTGCTCATTGGAGGAATGTGAGAAGGCATAGCACCTGCTTTCAAATTCAGCCAAACCTTTTGGAAATTACTTGGTTCAATTTCTCCATTGGGAAGAAAGAAAAAGAGCAGATAGCAAGACAGAAATAAATATATAACTGTATAAATGTTACCATCCACATCTCCAGAGCTGACACACTATCAAAGCCACACGTGTTTTTCAAAAACAAATTATTTAATCAAGGTGGAAATAGTTCCCCAAAACTACTAATAGGTGCTTCTTCTCAAGTAGGGTTTGACAACTATTAGGCCCAGGCCAGGCAGCATTGGAAAAACAAACAAACAAACAAACCCACAACCCTCCAAAAAACAACTCAGAGCCCTATGTGCCTAAAAGATTGGGGCTCTTCAGTGTTTCCAAACTCTAAGCTATTATTTTCAGCCTTCCAACAAACGCAAAAGTTTGAGATATTTTAGAGCTGAAAAAAGGTTTGAAGTGGAAACGATTCTACAATTTCAGTCTCTGCAATCCTTATTCTTTTACTATCCTGACTTTTAAAATGTAAACTAGCTCTGGAAAAACAAAAAAACAGAGTAAGCTAATGAGACATCAAATCAGGGCAAGGTACATATTTTCACTGAGGAGGCACCTGCTGCAGGGCTTCTTGTCACAAGATGAGCCCTGGTGCGTCCTTGCATTCAGATGTAGCTCCTATCATGTCCCCAGCGAGGATCACCACTGAGGCAGGGAAAAAGTAGGCCTGATGTAGCTTTTCAAATTGATGCTGCTTGTGGAGAGGAACAAACAGCTCGTCTCCAACTGAGGGGCTGACTCTCGTCATTTATTCATGGCCAGCCCCCTGCCTGCATCGAAATAAAAATGTTTCAAAGGCAACTGTGGGGGGGAGCTGGAGGACAGCTTGGAGGCACACTGAGGTTAGCACATTAATTTTTTATCTCTGGAGACTGGGTATCCAATTATGCTTAGAGTACACAAACAACTTTGGCTGGTCTCTCCAGTAGAGATTTATCCACATCATAAAATCTGCCATGCAAGCAGGCACAACCAGCTGATGCCATGAAATAACACAAACAGGTGGTCTTACAGGTCAAATGTGCACGCTAGCAGAGCGGCAGGAGCACAGCCAACTGCATCCTCATGAACTAAGCCTATGGCACACATGGACCAACGCAACAGCTAGGCCAACATCAGCCAGCAGAACATGGTTTATGGCAGGAATGCCCCTGCCCGAAGTGCTTGTGGGCACAAGACCTTTGAGTTGCTGTTTACCCCATCTGCCTTTAACCAATGCTTCACAAAGCAAACTGCCACTGAAAACTCCTCACCTACATGAGCAATTAGCTCCTTTTTAAAGAGGAGGAAGCTTTTCCTTCATGCAGACAGACTATCCTTCTCTCCTAGGCATTAAGTAAGCACATTTATACTAGTCCATTCACTCACACGTACATTTCAATAGATAGAAGTCTAATGAAATTCCTACATGAGAAGTCTCTCAAAATTTGTAAGCACCAGCTGCCCTCAGAGCTGGCCTGTACCCATAAGCTGGGATGGAATAGAACAGCAGGTGTTTTGTGGCAGTCTTGGATGCATCCTGGGCTCACAAATCTCACACTATCAGTGCCAACATGTGGAGGAAAACGCAGCATGAAAAAGCCTGAGAATGGTGTGGGACCATTTTTTTTCATTGGCAGATCTGGGAAAGGAGGAAGCTCACTTTTTAAACTGTTTTTCTATTATTTTCTTTTCACAAATTCATGTGCACACATGTGAAAGACCAGATAGTAAGTCAAAAATAAACACGTGTGTAGGTAGAGGCAAGACTGAGTCCTGAGGAAGGTCCCTGTACCAAGGGCGAGGTAAGACTTACAAACAAAGCAACTAAAGCTCTAGGAGAGCATGGGTGAGATGGCACAGGAAAGACAAAGGACAGGGAAGATTACTGAAGTGTCTTCCATGAGGGAAAAGGTAAACTGCATGTGAGGAAGAAAGACAGAAGGAGAAAGAGATGTAAAACAAGGAAACCTTCTACAGCAGGTTTTCCAGGACAGCAAGATGTGCCAAGGAAGTGGGACTTTGTGGTTGGATCAGCCCACATTCTTTGATACACACCTATGCAGCAGCTCTTAGTTTCAGATGAGTTCTTCCTATCTAATTTCCAGTCATGATAATTTACTGCAGTGTCCAAATTGATCTGTGTGTGAGAAAAACAGTAAAGATAAAAGTGGGGGGAAAGGGAAGGAGAAAGAAAGAGGCCATCAGCTAAACGGCAGTGGCGGCGGAGGAGACGGGCGCACAAAGGCAGGAAGTTGGAGCTGCAGCAGCCGGCCTGAACTTTGCTGACCCGGTGCTCACCTCCCACAGCACGACAAATTCCAAATGGCTCATTTGGATTTGCCTTGCCTCTTCTAAATCACACTGCTCGTATCTCTCTGACACACGGCTAAGCAAATAAGCAGACCCTGCTGTACGCCATATCTCTGGTCCTCCTGTTCAGGAGGTTGCGGATTAGCTGTTTGGATTAGCATCCCCCTCTCTCCCTCCCTCCCAAGCCCATGCAGAGAGGATTCTTGAAGCCCAAAGCCCTGCAACACTGCAGACCTGTCAAATCTAATTCATAACACATGCCTAGCAGTTCTTAGGGGAGAGGAAGGATCTGATGCCCTGGCTCCCCACCACCCCCCTGTACAAAGGGACCATTTAATGACTGCACATTAGCAATGTGGACAATTAGCATTCACATAGAAGATGAATGGCAGCATAAATTAAATATTGCCAAGTGAAAGAGCAAAGATGCAAGATCTGAGCTCAAGGCTGTAAACAAACCAACGGGCAAAAAGGAACAAACAGCGGCTGCAGCAGCTAAGCCATTTGGGAGAGTTACCTTCCAGCATGTGGGACCTTCCCAGCGGGAAGCTGCACACTCGCCTGGTCGCTGCCTGCCCCTCGCTGGCTCCTGGCCAGTTGTGAGGCGGTTTCTTCCTGCTCAAGGATCTGGCGGACCACAGGGACTCCTGGGGAGCACAAGCCCAAGCTGCTCCCATTCTGTGCTCTCCCGCAGCACAGAACACAGCTCTTTGCAGAGGCCCAGGCTTGCTGCTTAAAAGCAAAATCCTAACCTCTTCTCAGCTCTTCTAGCTCCTCTTCTTGCTAGCTACTATCAATCTCTAAGCACAGAAGGACTGAGACTGTCCTTGGCCTCTGTGACCAGCTGAAGAGTATGGGACACTACCTTTCTTGGTGTGGCCATCTGTGCAAGGCCATTACCAATATTAATTCAATACAAACTTGCAATATGCCTCTCAGATATGCAAGCACTACTAATTACCACACACACAGAAGAAAAAAAAAAAAAAAAAAAAAAAACAGAGATAATATAAATTCTAAGTAAACAAAAGGTACTGGTTGAATAGTGACATTCTCCAGCCTGCCCAAGCAGTCGTTCTTACTGCACTGACAGCTCCAGTTTATCAACAGCTGGAGAAGTCAGAATTGCTTCTGCTGTGAAACCACTAAACACGTGAATAGCTAAAAGGTAGAGCATAAAAGTGACAGAAACACAGGGATTGCCAAATGGAATCACACAAAATGGCCCTTCAAACTCAGATAGTGCCTAGCAGCAGATGCCTTGGAGGAAGGAAACTCCCTCCCTCTCTCCCTGGGGACAATTATCAATTATCCTGCTTAGAAAGAAAATGTTTTCCTACTTCCATACTTCTTACCATTCATCTTAATGCTGTATAAAGTGGTTTTGCCCATGTATTTCTTCCCATAAGCATTTTATTCCTTTGTCCAAATTGCTCCTTACTTTGAACTAAAATGACATATTCCACAGGGTGATCGGAAAGGACTTCTTGTAAGTGAACAAAGGTATCTGCACAAATCCCAAGGTGAAAGCAATTATCACACAGTATTGCACACTGCAAAACTGAGAAATAGGGACAAGAGAGTCTTGCCAAGATGTTAAAAAAATCAGTGATAAAACACAGTCTCCTTGACTCCTCATTTTGTGCCTAAAAAGAAGAGGAGGAACAGTCAAACTGAGGCCTTTGGAGCACAGCCTTGCACTGCTGTGGCTAATCTAGGTGTGCAACTTTTCTCCTCTCTTGTTCCAGTACTCCTCCCTCCCAATCAGTGCTTTTCAACCCACAGATCTTCCCAAACTATAATTAAGAAGTAGCTTTTGGTGCAAGTGATGACAGTCCTTTCGTGGAGAAGGTGCATGGATAAGGGGGACAGACGTGGCAAATTTCATATATCTAAAGACTCAAGACATGAACAGTGGTCTCTTATTCAAAGGCAAAACCAGAGAGAAGCTCCTGGACAAGAGTGCGTTTTCCTTGACATCCCTACTCACAGCCACTGGGAGGCTGCTTGATGATGAGCAGGTTGGACGTCTCCCCTTTCCCGTCTCTCCTTGCCACCTCCTCCCCACGGGAGCAGTAATGGAAAAGTGACTTGCCGCAGAGATAATGCTGGCTTGGAAATGAATTCCTGACCTGCAGAGCCAGCACCAGGGAGAGCTGCAGCTGCTGAGCTCCGCACACCCGGGCTCTGGCTGCTCGCAGAGCGCCGCGCTATCCCGACAGCCTCCACAGAGCGGGCGTGCGCGGAGGCACCAGGAAAACCACTCACGTTTGTGGTTTTCATTTCGGTGGACGGGCGAGGAGCGGGTCTCCTGCTCTCGGGCATCGTCGCCCTCTTCGCTGGCGAGGTGAGTGTGGGCGTAATGGTAGCTCAGCCCAGGCCGGTTCTTGTAGCGCTTGCCACAGACTGGGAAGAGAGGAGATAGGAGAAGGAGAGCAGAGACATCAGTACCACCAGCAGCAACAACAGCAGCCATCAGAGCAAAACCCCTTCCCCACAACAGTGATACCACACACCCAACAGTCTTGCTGGAAACGCTACTGATGGGTTTTAGTCCAAGGGGGCAGAACCTGCAGCCCCGTGGCCCCAGAGCAGCCCTCCCTGCCACGCAGCCACGCTCCCTGCAGCCAGCCTGGCAGCCCACGCTCAGTCTCCAAGGGCCCCGGCTGCTCCCTCTCTGCCGGGATCACCAACCACACTGCCCACAAAATCAAAGGCAAGGCCGGTTGGGATGCTGGTGCTACACGGGGCAGAGCAGTGGAGACCGAACTGAGAAGAAAGGATGTTATTTTCTTGTTTGCTGGTCTCTGAGAGAAGGAAACTGTATTACTTCAAAAATAAAAAAAAAAAAAAAAAAAGCAAAAATGATGTTCTTTAAAAGAGTCATTAAACAGGTTTCACAGATTCCCAGGCAAGACGAAGAGCTTCTTGCTAAAGAACATTTAGCAGCGCTACTTCTCTTCAGGGAATCCAGGTAAACTTCACATTCAGCATTCCAATAAAGAACTCAACGTATGACAGAGAATTCCCCTTCTAAGGAGTCTCATTTTATTCCTTAAGATTCAAAATAAAGGTTTCCTTCCTATGAAAAATTTGCACGCATCTGTATTTCCTAGACTGCCCCAGAGATAACAAGAAATCGGTCATCTTTTTTTTATTATTATTATTATTCTTTTTTTTTTCCCTATTGTTTATTCAGGAAACTTCAAATGTGGCAAGAGCTGTTGATCAGAGTAATCATCAGTCCAAGGACAACTAGAAAATGCTCACTGTTTAAATGATTTCAAAAAGATAACTCCTTTTCAGAAGAGGTAGATTTACACTCCTAGCAGATTATTTGAGTATAATATTGTGTCCTACTCTATCCCCCTTTTTCATGTGTGTTTGAAGATAAAAGTTAAAAACACATGCCTCTATTAAGAACTGCACTCAAAAATCTCTGCTTAAATCATTTTCAAATCATGATCTAATAATCAGAGCTGTACTGACATGGGTGGACACTCTTGGACCTTGGTAGCTCAGCAATTCTGTCCTCCTCTCACAAAGCTTGATTCTGTATCACTGCTGACTTTGGTACCAACTCAGACAATGAGCTTTAAAAACCCAGGCCCATTTACCTATTACAGTTTTTTTCTTTGTTTTTTAATATTTAATACATATATCTATTCCTAAAAAATCTACCTGATTCTATTACCTTCAGCACTACCTGAAACCATATCCACAATTCTAGCTGTCTAGTTGCTACATTTTAAAAGCATAGTGTCCTTGAAAATAGATCTCATCCAGCTTTCTCTGTCAATGCACAAAAGGAAACTTGCATTCCTTGTAGAAAATCCCAAGGCTGTAGCCTTTCCTCCACTCCCTACGTGATCCTGCAGGGATTTTAGTTGCAGAGTTAATGGTAACATAGGAAGCCAGGTGGGTTTGCAGCCTTTACCTCCTCCAGCAAAATACACCAGATTAACAGGAAAAAAACATAGCAAGAACTGGTACAAGCTGAGGCAGCAGTAACTCTGCAGCTGGGCCCTTCCTACTGGCAAAACTCTTTCAAATGGCCAGAGGGCCTCCAAGGGTGGCAGCGGGCTGAGCCATTCCTGGCTAAAAACAAAGCCAAGGGACTTTTTAGCCAGAGCTGAGGGAAAAGAGCTTCATTTACATAGTTGCAAATCCTTTGTAGGGTTTGTGGATGAAAAATCTGCTGTTTCCAGCAGTTTTTTTCTTGGAGTCGAGACTTTTCCTCCTTTCAAATTCATGTTCTATCATGAAAAAAAGTCCTAAGCAATGCCATGAGATGAAACCAACCACTGGGATTTCCTATTCCCCATGCAAGTTAGACTTTGTTTTGTAGGGGAAGACTTTGTAGGGCTTAGAGTTTGTTCTGTGGACAAAGAGGTATCATGATTTTAACTGGGCAAAAGAATCATTGGCTTCATAAAGAGTTTGCCAGGATAAAAACTAAGTCAGAACTTCAGGGCTTCTCCAACAGATTGGAATCCCCTCAAATTCACCCTAATCTCTTATTTTCCAGATAGAGCACATTTTCTTAATCTACCATATCATTGAGTAAGAAGTAGTTTCTATAAAAGGGTGCTCATTAATAAACACTTAACTCTTATATAACTCTTCCCACTGCAAGACTGGCTTTTCAAACATTAATTAATCTTCCCCCACATTCCTAAGTGGGAAATATTACCCTCATTTCACTGCTGCAAGAAGAGAACCACAAAGGGGCTCAGCGACTTGCCCACACAGTAATCCTTTGTCATTACCAGCCTTAGAATTCGTGAGTTCTCAATATCCAAACCAGTGCTCACACCACATCATGCTCATTTTGGGAGCTGACAAAAGCATAAGGAGAACTGGTTCCCCCAGTTTGAAAGGCATGCTGGTGATTATGGGCTAACACTATGCAGCTCGCACACAATAAGCGAGCGTACGCCTTTCACAAGCTTTGCTGGGTGGCTCTGCCTCCCTTTCGGTAGCTTTGCCTTTTTGTATCTTTAATTTTCCTTGCTGGATAGGCTCATCATCCTTGCATGTGGTAGATTTCATCCTGATTCTCCACACTGGGAAGTTGACTTGATCTTTAATTACGTAGCCAAACCCAATGCGAACAGCAGGAATTTATAGGCTGTGACCCAATCCAGTTCCTCCTGCATTTAAAGGATGTATTTTTTTCTACCCTGATTGCAACCTTAGGAACAGGCTGGGAAGTTAGTAGTAATAACGCAGGGCAGATCAAGCCCCACAAATGGGGAGGAGGAGAAGATCCTGTTAGGCCACCGGACACTCTCCTGCAATGAATGCTGCACTCCTTCCAGTCTGCAGATTGAAATGAAGAAGTTACACAACCATGTTATGGGGAAAACAAACTAATTTGCAGAGAGTTTAATCATATGCACAGGGTGCTTCACAGAAGAAGCTTCTAAGTTCTGACCTGTAACTGCCTGCCTCTTTTTGGATAAACAAATTCTCTCTGTTTATGTTTCTCTACAACTACAATTAATACAAAATATTTCCCCTGCTTTAAAACAAAGTCTAAAATCTATGACTTAAAGGATTTCCTCATCAAAAATTTAATGGCTGTGCTGCTGTCATTTTGAAATTGTTACACATTTGGTCCTTGGCAGACTGAGAGCTGTGTTCCAGCCAGCTCTCCACATACATTTTGTACAATCTGTCACCAGTATGAGACAGAAGGAAACAATTCATGTTTTCAGTGGAAATAGGAAATAGGGGGAATACATGTGGGTTTTTTTTTTCACTGAATCTTGCTCCTTCATTGTCTTCTCTTTTCTCCTCTGCCTCCCATTTGATCTTCTTGGCTGGACTGGGTCAAATGCTGAAGCTTAGGTTAACTACCGGCAGGCAGTCACTCCTCAAAGTTATCCTCCTGTCGCACCACTCACTCCACTCCAAAAAAAAATTCCTTGTTTTGCACTCATTTGAAAACATAATCACCACTATTGCAACAGCCATGCCCAGTCTCTGGCAATTCTAGACCTCTCAGACTTCAGCACATTGTATTTGACGCCCATTGACGGGAAAGGCATCATATTTGCCCCTTGCCGAACAGTATTGTCATATTACACACCTCTTTTATCAGGGCAGCTATTTGGTAACCTATTTCTTACTTATTTTTCTTATTTCTGTTATTATTTTCTGTAGAGAATAAATAGTCTTTATTTCACTGCCCCCAAAGAAACAACCCCGGAATCCACCTGCTTTATTATGACAACAAGCATGCTGAACTATCAAACAAAACATGTGCAGATCATTAACAATATGAATGTCCACATTTTAATAAATTAATTGCTGGCAGGACCAAAGCAGGAAACAGATACCCTGTATGAGCAGAACATGGTCACTCAGCAGAGCAAATTCTGTTCCCCTTCCTACCGTGTGCCCCAACCCAGGCCTATGCTAATCAATATAAAATAATGCTGAGAGTTCTTGCTTCTGTCACAGTGCAGCAATCAGTACCCAGTACAGCAGAAGAGTTGGTGGAAGAGTTGCTTTTTGGGTTCATCTGCACAATCACCTTATTCTAGATCGTATTGCTTATTAACTGCTTAGGGATTCACTAGAAAGGATAATACGAGGAGATGATTTAGGGCTTATACTGCTAATAGTTTAAAAGGAAGCTGAAGTCATAGTAGAGATTTATGAGAAGCATGTTAAAAACATATTGCTACAATCAAAGCATTTTCGAAACAGATTTTCACAGTGATATTTAAACAAGACTGTGTCCTAAGAAGTAACAGTACTAGCAGTAGACTCATTCTTAATATCTGTGAGAATTAAGGTATCAGATTAACTAGGAGAATAAGTAAAAAGCAGCCTACATCATGATTTATCTTGCAGGCATTCTGCACTCCTGCAAACCTCCCTAAGAATCAATGAGATGTCTGTTAAAATGACTATGGCAGGATCAAGTCAATTTGGAGGAGCAGAGAAAGAAAGCTGGAGACTATTAAGGTAATTATTAAAGCAGTCACTTTGGAAACTTATACAGGAAAATATTCCCTAAAGACCAGGGCACAAGGAATTACATTAAGCACGTAATGCTAGAACACCATAATATTTGCTTTCCAAAGGAACCTGAAAGAGACAGATCCTCAGTTCACACTGAAATTCACGGGAATCTGTTAATCTCAGGTCTGAAGATTCGAGCCTCAAGATTTCACCTTTTTATTGATAGACACAATGATAAGTTTCCTGTAGAAAGGCAGTGGAGAAGAAAGAAAAGAACCTTGAAATTATGAAATTTCAGTACTCTGCTGGATGATGAATCCACAGAAACACCAGAAGCACGTTTCAAGCTCTAATGCTTTGATTGTACAGTCAAACATTTAAAAAAAAAAAAAAAGTTCTGGGTAATTATTACTAGTTCAAAGTCAAGTTCAAAGTAGGGCCCTAGGGATCAAGTCTTGTACAATACGAGCAGGTAGGCACTTAGTGGGATATTCATGAAAACCAGTGAGGAGCCTACCTCCACTTGGAATCTGCAAGAATTAGGAGCCTAATCCTTTGCAGACGTCACAAGGCCCCTTTCTGCATCTTCAAGCACCTGAAAGAGTCCATTTTGGGCCTAATGCTTGCATCTGTTTTATTATTGAAGAGTAGGTTAGAGAGTGAAAAAGATCAAACATGCAGAGAACTAATTGTTGAAGAAAATACTGGAAAATAATATAGAAGCTTAATTAATCAAATAACTCTTTCAAAGAGTAACATTATTAGTGAATATTCATATGAGGCCTAGTAAAGAAAACGTTACAAACAGAACAAAGTAGTACAGTGAGGAAACTAAAGATGACAGATAATCAGCCTGAGTAGAAACAGGTTGAAGAGGGAAGAAACAAGAAGTTGCAGGAAATGGCACATTAAATATGAACTCACATAATGGACAGGGTGAAAATTACTTTGCCATTGAAACGTTAGAAACAGAGATGGGGAGAAGTGTCTTGCATTGAAAAAAGGGTTGCAAAATTATCTAATAGGCCAATCATCTCTGCATCTCTTACAGATATATATCATAGCACGTTGCAAAAATCCAAGTTCTATAGGTAAAAAGAAGTTACTCATAGAAATATCAATCAGTTTTCTTTCTTCTCAAGTGGTTCTGGTCTCAAAACAGCATGTTTGTTTTAGTTTTGGCCACTACTGTTTAAACGAGACCCTTTGGAGATCTTTCAGAGAAAAGAAACAAGCTTAGAAACAGACCTGAAGAAAACACAGCTGAAAGAAGTTACAATAACTGTTTTCAAATATGGAAAAAGGACATTGTTATCCACTAAGAAGAGAGCAAGAAGAACTGGTCTGAGACTACAGCAGAGAAAATTCAGGGGAAATATTTGGAGAAAGCTAAAAATTAAGATTTTTTTTTGACAAAAGACTGCAGAATCAGTGTGTCTGGGTATGAGCAAGGTTGCATTAGTTCATGGTCCTGCAGAGATCATAACAAGGTTTCAGTTAACTCTCATTTTGCACCAAGAACAGATTTGAATGCATGACTCAAACTCAGAAGGACTATGAATAAAGGATACGATATGGAAGTTGTTATGCTAAAAATTCAATTTATGTAAGAATAAGACTAAAAGGAGACAAGGACATATTGGACATACTAGTAAAAGAGAGAGAAACAACTCCTTTTACAGACAAACAAGGAAAATCTTCCATAAATGGAGGGAGAGAAAATAAAACTGGAAGCAAGTATGTATCTGGGTAAGTTACAATGGGAAAAAGAAAAGAATGAAAGCAGGCAAATGAGGATAGACAGGAAGAAAGCTAATAACTTTCTTATAGAACCAACCATTCTGGCTAGAGAAAGACACAGACATCCAAAGTCATGAAGCTCAGGTGCTACAACTTGCCATTTTTATCCCAGAATACAAGTTTCTGAATAAAAATTCAATTAAAAAAAGTTTTCCAAAGATAGAAAACAAAATATAGTAAACAATCCAAAATAATAAAACAGTTTTGAAGTAGACTTCTGTGGTAGGACTGTGGTAGGATTGGTGGCTCCTCGGCTGATCATTTGACAAGCACATGACACCCATTCTTGTTATACATGTATTCTTACCTTCTTTCACTCTACCCCTCTTCTAAAATCACACGCCCAGTTTATCTGGAACAGCTGAAATGGAGTATCTTGAAATGGAGTATCTTTTCTTGCTTGGTATCACAGGGTTTTCTTTGCTCCTCAGGACTAGTTTTCACCAGCCTTGCAGGCATCTGCTCTATCTCCCAGCCAGATATTCAAACTAGATTAGCATCTGCTCTGACCCAGCTGCTGATCCATTATGCTGTGTTACCATCTCTCGCCTATACCCATCTCACAGCATGCTTTTCTGCAGCTTGCACTATCAAACTTATTCTTTTTTTCCCCCAAGGGAGCTCGAGGCACAACACTGTTCAATGGAAATCCCTGAAAATACAACAGGTTTTCCACTTGCTTATTTGATGAAATCAAAACATTTCATGACATATCAAAACATAACACAGAGTAACACAAAATTTTGAGCTTTCCAAAACTTTTTGAGCACAGGCATTCCATATTTCCAATCAGTTTGAAAACTGGTTTAGAGTATTTATTATTGGTTTAGAGGTGATTGCCTGTTCCAACAAAGACAGGCCTTTCCAGGAATTACTTTCCCATCTTCCAATGCAAGGGTCAGTGTCAGCAAGGGAGAAGGCAGTGGTAAAGGAATGGAGACTTGATGTTGCTCTTTCATCATCTTACTGACACAGACAGGTGTTTCACATATAGATGAATGCTACTGATATTCTTGTTTCCTGTACATATGATTGCATAACTATGAAAAAAGAATGAAGTAGTTCTTCACCAAAATCACCTTTTGTGACTATACATTTAAATAAGACTTTTTTTCAGTTATGCCTGTGTTCCCTCTATAGCCATTTTCCAAACACAAATATCGGAACATATGCAAAAAAAAAACCCAAACAAACAAACAAAAAAAAAAAAAAAATCTGAAAGTAAACTAGAGAATATATCCAAAAAAAAAGTGTCAAACCATTAAGGTTTGACATATTACTATTGTGACATATTACTAATAACTCATATTACTAATGTGACAAAATATTTTTCTAATCTACCATAAATTAGATTGACCTACCCACAAAAAAAAAGAAAAAATACATTCAAGAAAACCTTCAGTGGGCTGACCAGGGAAAACCTGATCACGCAAGCAGGAAAGACAACTCAACAAACTGGTTATTAACAATGAATTGTATGTAATATTTCTAAAGAAAGTTAATAGGGGCAAGATGTTATTTCAGGGTGATGGCAGCACCACTGGGACAGCTCTCTCCTTCTGCTCCACAGCAAGGCAAAAGAGTTCTGCTACCACATAACCCTTTTCTCAAACACCTACACTGGAAAAGGGGAGCCCCTGGATTCCACATTTTCTTATGACTCTCTGACTACATGTCTCTTGAAAATGAAAGATATCTGTCACACGAAAAATGATTTTATTCTCCAAAACCAAACAAGAAATGTATGCTTCTAACTGTAAGCCAAGGCAAAATTCTGAGAGTACAACACTGCCAGAACCTTGCTCAGAACCTTTCTGCTGCCTCCCTCAATATTGTAGCTGTTTTATCTCCTACGTGCACATCACTACTATGTATGTTGCGAGATTTCCATAAGATTTTACAGCAGAACAAGATTAGACAATAAAAAGTCATTATGTTCAGAATGACTGCACCACTGATAAATGTATTTGGATATTCCAAGGATGTTCAGAAAAGAGATAAAGACAGTCATGCACATACCACACAGGAAAGAAGGAGGAGATGAATACAGGTTCCTACATATGTCTTAGAAGACATATTTCAAAATCACTGAAGATTTTTGGATCACGGAAGTGAAGACCTCCTACTATTCTCCTACTTCTACTAACTTTTGTTACCTTGCTGTCTGGCAAGATAGAAGGTACTTTGTCGCACAAATTACTATTGCACGTACTACCTTAGGTGGTGTTAAGGTGGGAGATTAAGGTTAAGGTGGGAGGCCTCAAAAATATGTGGGTAAGATAAGTGTCCCTCACAGAAACAAAATAATGAAGTGGAAAAGAATATCAAAAGAAGAGGAAGAGTACCAAGGACTAGATTTAACAGAAACATGTTCTGTACCAACTCTGGGGCTCCCTCCTTATATTTGGGCTCCTATCCTATTTCTGTTTGGGCAATACACTATTTCACAAGCAGTGCCACTGAAAGGTGACACAGCATGGCCAAAGAGAATGAGTGTCAAAACCATGCACTCCAGTTGTGTGTCTTCTTAGAAGAGCTCAATTCCTGATGATACCATAAGAGTCCTTTCTGAGTGAGGGATAAGGCCTTAGCCCCGTGAGATTTTAAAATAATTAAAGGGAAGAGAATCACCAAAGATATGAGGAGATACAACAAGTGTGAAGTACCTTTATCGGAGATTTTTGACTTACACTTTTGTTTGTAACTATCTGAAACACAGAAAGAAATAGAAGGTGAATCTTACACAGGGAAAAGGAAGATAAAAGGCAGAGAAGCCAGTAAAAGAGAAGGAGAGAGAAACAGAAGAGATTATTTATTCTAGTGCAGAGGGAAGCGGAGTCTTGCTGAGGACTTAATTTTATTTCCTTCATGCAAAAACACCAAGAACAGCAGCAGCGGCAGGTGGCAACATGCAAGTCAGAGAGCAGCAGAACACTTTGCTGGAAAGGAAAAGATGAAGCCCTGAGTGCACCGAGCTGCTAGTACCAGGCTTGAAGCATAATCAGTTGTCTGGGTGCTACTTACTATCACAAACATAGGGTTTGTCATGATCATCCTGGGAGGCAGCATCATTCCGTCTCCTGCCACCTCCAGATCCCCGAGCCTGCAAGTATAAGAAGAATGTTAACATTATCCCACTGCCCCTCAGCGTTCTTGATGCCCTTCACCCTTTGTGAAAAATGTCCAATATAGACTAAACAAATCCCCAGCTTCCACACATGTATGCCAGGAGCGGGGCTTGGCCCTTCATCTCCTAAGATCTTCACTATATTAATGGACCCTGCAATGCAGCAGAGATCCCCTCCAGAGATGAACCACACAGTTCATCCATAGCAGAAGGTCACTGCCAGAACACATTCAGTAGAAGTATCATCACACATTCATTTCTGAAGATGTTCAAATACTTTTATTACTGAATATGAATGAATGAACAGGTGACAGAGGATACATACAGCCCTTAAATCAGCCAGGTCCCAAACAGAACAGAATTAAAACTATTTGCTTTAATATTTCTAAAGAAAGGACTGCTTTTTATTTTGGGGTTTTGTTGTGTTTTCTAGCTAAAAAGCAAGGTTTTGAAATGGCCTTCTGGTAAGGACAAAGATAAAACGGTTCTTGTGAAGTGGAGCTTTGCTGAGTTAGTGGAAAAGGTAACATGGCTATTCACAATAGTAGAGAACTGGAATTATCCAGAAAGGTCCTTTTATAATTTATTGTTCCTAAAGGATACTGACCTGACAACCTGGAACTAACACCCTCTGCTTGTCCACAGTGCACTCCGCTCTGTCCTGAACTCCAGGGGTAAGAGTGGAATTCACCACCAAAGCCCCTTGGTTCTGACCCTGCTCTGCTGAGATGACAAGCGGACATTGGTACCCCTCTAGCAGCAGAGGCTGTGAGGGAACTGAGCACAGGCCTTCAATTATTTCACCATAGCTAATGTGCAGTCTGTAGATAACAATAATTCTGGACTAGATCTTCATTTCAGCAAGTGATCTGAAACTGGATGGCTACGGAGCCCTGTAGTAATTCTGCAAGCTAGGCTGATCCCAAGCAAAAGTAACTAAATTGTTTCTGCTGTTTTTGTTAATAAACTGTTGATGCCTCTCCTTAAACAAGACTTCATGACTCGAGTCCTTTCAGCTTTTATGTGTGAAAATAAGAAAGTGACAGAGCTTCATCAAGTAAAGCCAGAAAAGACACAGCAATTCTGAGAATATTAGTGCTCCAGATACAAAAGGGTCATAAAAGTTCTGTCTCCCTTCTATGGATGTGGCATTGCACTAGCACTATTTGAGCTGCACTCCCTCATACATCTAACGTGAAGGAACAAGAATCAGTTTTACATTGATTCTGTCAAAATAGAAATTCATAGAAACCTCACGTATTATTTCCCTGGGATTGCTCAGGTCTAGCTCTTATCACAGTCCCAAAGGAAAGACATGGATCTGCCACTGTCTGGTTGGAGTAAATACAATCAGGCATCTGCAATGAGCTCAGTGCAGATCAGCACACACATCCTAAGTGAGATTTGTAAGGGTGAACCAAAAAGCAGTCTCACGCTGGAAAAGGACCCAGCAAGAACTGCTTGGTGGAGGCCGCATTACTGACTGTATCTCATAAAATCAGCCTACTACTCTGCAATATCTTCTGACTGTTAGCTCTGTAAATCCACTCTGGGCTGTGAGATCAATCCTGGGCTAGTTCCTTTCTTCCCTCATTACTGCAAAATGTTCTGCAAGCCAAATTTAGGTCCCTGGCTGCTCCTGTACTCAGCTCATCAAAGATCCTTCACAGAGGCAAGTGATCGGCCCTTCATAAATATTTCTATCAGTGCCCGGACTGGGATCCAATTTCCCTATTCTGTCAGGCTGCACTGCCTCTTCAGAGCTGTAAAAAAAAGCCGCAAAATCTTATTTTTATCACTAATCAGGAGTTCTGACTCTGCTTACACACTGAGAACAGATCTGCTCAGTACGAAGGTACTATTTTTATATAGACATCTTTCAGGATAGGATGGTAATTCAAGGTCTGGTGCTTGGAGTTTCACTAGTCTTACAGCCAGCTGTTTCCCTTCAAAGCGTTCTCTACAGAAAAGCAAGGGTACTGTATTCATGTCATGACCACACGTCAAATATATTTTTTCATGCACTGAACACAGAGGCAGAGATTTTTCAAGTCAGTGACTCTCAATGGGAGTTGGGCTCCTAAATGTCTTTAGTGCCTTTGAAAATGTCCCATGGGGTATTCAGCTGACGAGCACACAGCCTGTACAGGTGCAGCTGCATTCCTCTCCTATCTCCTAGCAAACTGCCTCTCTGAGCTCCTACCATATTTTCCTTGTCCAGCAAAGATACAAAAAAGCTCCTTTTACAAATCCATCACTTTGGCCTTCAGTGTCCTTCCTAGTGCTCCCATGAATTCAGGGCCAGCCTTGAGGGGGTAGCAAAGTTAGGAGCTGCCCCAAAGGCACTAAATGGAGCGCTGCTCGCTGGCTGCCTGCACTCCTGTCTGTTGTATTCAGTCTCCACAGCTGCTTCATTCTGCTGATGTGATGCAGCAAAGACTACGAGACTTGATGTATGAGACCTGGAAGCCATGGCCCTGCAGCCTTCGAGCAGGACTGAAGCAGCCAGAGAGAGCAGCCAGAGGGGCAGATGGAGAAGTCCAGGATTATAAAGAAAATCATGCTGTAGGGAAAGGAAGGGGTATGTGAAATTTGGAAAGCTAAGACAGCAATTCCGCTGCACTAAACCAGCATCAATGCTGTCAATCCTTCTCATTCATTCTCCAAATCCCCAGAGGCCACACTCTGCAGGATCTAGTTTCCTATGCATGTTCTTCCTCTCTACTATTCCACAAAAATATCCTGAGCAATTCCTTCCCAAAAACAAGGTGCTGCCCAGATTTCACGCCCCTTCATTTCAAATCCTGGGACCTGAACCCCATTCTGAGTCAGACTCAGACAACGGGTGCTTGAAAAGTGGCAAAACACTCATGACCAGATGCAATTCAGGCTTTGATTCAGTTCTCAGCAGCTAAGGAATCTGGCCTGATCTTGAAATTCTAATTTATACCAGATTTCACTTTGGTTATTGATGTCATCAAATAAAAAGGAAAATTGCTCAAAGTATTTGGCACTCTTCAAACTTCTCTTTTTATTGGACCCTATGGAATCAGGGCAATAGCAGAGCAGGAGTTAGTTACAAGAGAAAGGTAAGAGATTCTGTTGATCCTGTATTTAATAGGTGATCAGTCTAAGGCAGAAAACATCAGGTAAATTTGTACTTCTAAATGAATGGGACCGCTAGCACCCTCCAACTTCTTTCTTTACAGTAGTAGAGAAAAAACAGTCGAGTTACTCTAAAGTAGTCGTTTCCTGAATGGGAGAGTACCATTTTGCACTTAACAATAAATTCAAGACTTTGTTTACATAGCCCTGGAATATATGATAGAGCTAATTCTCTTCCTCTAAGTAGCATATTCCTATTTGCTATTCACTTGTTCACTCACTCTGCCCAACATGCCCAATTTATGTGAGAGCAACTTATTAGAAGAGAGTTGTTAAGCTGGAATATTAGTTGATAGCTACAGCCAAGTTTGTGTGCATGTATCAATGCTAGCTCCTAGTTTTGGTTACTGGTTCATACAAACTTTCTGAAACTTACATTTTTCTGGAAAATTTTTTTCCAGGTGGGGGTCTTTGGCTAAGAAAGAAAGAAAGAAAGAAACTGGTTCAGGTGATTTTGAGAATAAGGAAGGTGAAATATATACTTATCCAGTTATTAAAGTGCTTTGATCTTATATTAAAGGACTTAAGCTCCAAAATAAACAGGAGCAGAAAACTGAAACAACACAACAACAGAAGAAATCAAAAGAGAAGGTCTGATGCATAAGTACATTGTAAGTATTCAGTGTGGTTTCATGTCTCTCTCATTCAAAAGCGATTATATCCTGCTCATTTGGCCTCAAACGTGGCCCTTCTTGCTTGACTCCTACAAACATCAAAAGGCACCTCTGGAGCTCCTGTGCCCCTGCAGCGCCTGCTGGAGCCAAAGAGAGAAGAAAATGCTCAAAACTGCTGAGAATCGTGTTCACTTCTATTTAGATGCCTCACTTAAGGTGCCACGATTGAAAATGTCGATTCCAAGTTTTAAAATGTTGGCCTCCTTATTCAGCTGGCTCCCTGCTGAAACTGGGAGAAGACATCCTAGGTAAGAGATGGGATTGGGGCTCCCTTAAGGATAAGCTCTTGCCCACTTCAATTAAATGGAAAATTCTTCATGGGCTTCAAGAGGGCCAAACTGACAGCCACAACGTGCTACCTTAGGGAAAGTTGCAAAATGTATTAACATAGTTCAAGTTACCTTTATTAATAATTTTTAGTTCGGCTCTTATGACTGAATTTACCAAATTTACTTTTTGTAATTAGCAAATGTTGTTTCAAAGTATGAGTATTGTAATAGCAGGATGTCATCATAACTATTATAGTTTGCATTAAAATTACAAATACATCACTATAATAAATTTACCCCATCTTTTCACTGGAACAACAATCTTTTTTTCTTGATAAGTAGCAAAAATAAACTGGAAAAATGTAAACAACTATTAAGTGTAGCTTAGAATTACCAAAAGGGTTATCATTGTCATAGACCCACAGATAGACATTTTGCATCTGCAATACATGTGAAAAATATATACTAGAAAGCAGAGATTTGCTTCCTTACTTCCCATTCCTGTACAATATTCACCTACCCGTCCTCTAGGCCTGTTCTTCCGTTTTGGAATATCTTCTTCCAAGTCCTCTTCCTCATTCACTTCATCTGCATTTTCATCATTTTCTAAAACCCTCTGTGGTGGAAAAATAAACAGGAATGATCAGAAGAAAAGAAGATCACACACACAACCAACCGCTGTTCTTTACCACAGAGACTACAGGTTATTAAGTTACAGTTGATTAATGATATAATGCCAAAATAGATCCCAGAATCCCCTTTTCTTTGCACTTAGAGCAAAATTTGCTTTCCCTTCCACTCTCAGTTCTTCAGGGATTTCTCATTAAGAAATACTACTGATATCAGATAACTAAGAAAAACAAGTTCCTAAGAAACACCTTCAGGGCATCACTGAGCACTGATACACCACGACAGTACAGGTACATGTACACTGATAGACCAGGACAGTACAGTCTGTATAAATTCCCTTGTTTGGGAAGCAGGAGTTTTGCATGATCTTGGATTTGGTTTCTTGCACCTTAAATGGTTTATTTTTCCTCTGATGTTGAGAATGAGCTTTCAGAAGAGAGCTTTGAGGTATCTTTTTCAGCTGGCAGTTCAGAAATTTCTTGCTTTAGCAAAAAAAAAAAAAAAAAAAAACTGACAATTCATTCACAGATTCTACTATTTTTATTGAATCTAGACAGTAACATCTTTGGGAGGCTACACCATATACACATCTGCGCAAGCTGATAGAAGAGCTCTTGGTGCACAAGAGCACTGAGGACGTTCAGGTCTTTCTGAAGTTAGTAGAAACAATAAAAGTTCCTTCAATTAATTACTAAATAGGAATAAAAATGAAAATAATCACAATTTATCATCTCACAGAGAATTTCAACCTTTTCATCTTGATCTTACAAATGTAACCACTTGAGAATGAACTCAAGGCTAGCAGCCCTGAAAACAGGCATAAATCAGATACAGCACGGCCAAAGGCAGGACAAGGCAGCATGCCACTAATGCCAAACGGAGTCTCCTGGAGCTCCCCTCAGTGCTTGATCTTGCTGCTGGAAATACAGAGCAGGGCCCCAGCCTCTCCTGCCACTCATGAGGTGAGCACAACTCCCTAAGCGTCTGGTCTGGACACCCTTTTGCTGTGTCACTAGCCATTTAAATGACAACAACATTCAATCATGACGCAGATTCAAATCTTAAAATGGATAGGAAGGTTTAAAATCTTTTTCAGTATTTGCCCCTTCTATATAATTTCTCTTATATTCCAAGTTTGTCTTACAAACCATTTCCCAGCTCAATATACTTTAGACCAGCTAGGCACCAAATCTTCTCCTGACACACACAGCTGGTTTAGATGGTGATGCTGGGCTGGCCCCAAGATGGGAATCACATCTATGTCTATTCTACCTGCTCACTCTCAACCCCACTGAATCCAAGACCTCTAAAAATATGATGTTGAAGAGCATGCAAAGGACCAAAGGAGAGATCTGCATTCTTTTATTCATCATAAGGATAAGATTTTGTCCAGGTACCCTTCATCAGGCACCATAGTGTATGTTGAAAGATGGACACTAGGAAAGCTTCAGCAATCACTGTTGAAGACTGCATCCAGCTAAGCTGTGCTTGCATAAGCAGCAGCAGCAGCAAGACATGCCTTTTGTGGCTGTTCTGATGAAAATCGGCGTCAACATGACAGGTCACAGCTGAGGCAGGTTAGCTGAAGACTCTCTAAACATTGTTAAACCCCTTCCCTGCTCCAGATTGCAGAAGTGCAAAGACCTCTGTCAATTCCACTGTCTCTGAAGTCTCTTTCTTGGGCTGCTGCTGGAACAATCTGGGAGCTCAGATTGCATAGCAGCATCCAAAGGTACTTGTCCATTCCATAAAGATGCTGCATCAAGCCTTCTTGAGACCCTGGAAGCAGCTATAAACAGATCCACTAATGAAGAAGGAAACGTAATGAGGGTCTCACACGGAGCCTGTGAACCTGGGATGCTCCCTCTTCAATAGCGCTCCTTCACCCACATTGCTGGGAACTGCAGACCTCTCTGGCTCCCTTTACATGTGTGAGATTTCCATGGAGCATTAGCAATCAGATGAATAGGACTGAGCCTCAAGTAACGCAGATTTGACTCTCCTGCTTTTCTGCAGCACTTGGCATGAGGCTGAGGCTGCCCACTCATGTTTTCACTAGTTTCAAGTACAGATGCAGTATCTTGTGTCTCAGCCAAAATCACTAAGTTTTACACATTGCCAATAGGTCTCACTAGAAAGCACTGACAGAGACTCAGAGCAGAACGGTGTTTTAGCATCACCAAAGATTTGCTGCTGCTCCCCTGAGACACGCTTTTCTATAAATTTGAAATGTCTTTATGAAGTGGCATACAGGCAATATCCTTTTATTAGTAGCATTCTTTTTATGACAGTCTCACTACTGTGTTTCTACTTTTAAAATTGGGAGAAGATGAAAAGGAATCTTCACAAGTAACTTTCAAAGCTGTAATGCTAGGAAAGAGACTACTTCTCTTAACTGTATCACTCGTAACATCTAAGAAAATTAGCAATAAAATACTTCTACTGGTTTCTGTTGTCTGTATACTTCTCAAAGGTCTTTCAGCAAGCCTAAGGAAGAACAGAAAAGGCAACAACATGCTTTTGTTTACAGTCAGTAGATGTGAATCCATCTTCAAATCCATGTCCAGGCTCCCTGTAAACCTGAGGCACTAAAATTCAGTTTACTGTTTGGATGCACCTTTGCTTGTCAGCTTTATATGTAATAACCTCATACTGCTCCAAATTACAATATGTAAGCCATGCAGAACACAAATGACCCAGAGTTTTATGGAAGAGGAAAGCTGAACAAAGCATACAGGTGTGCAGACCCTGAGTTCATTTTGAGCACCATGATGTAGCACAAGGGTTTGATAACATCTTGACAGCAGAATGACAGAACTCTCAACAGATACAATGTTCTGCCACAAGCCAAAATCTGCTAGGCTTAGAAACAAAGTGTAAAATTCTGCTCTGCTATCAGTACATGGAGATCTCCTTTACCTGGATTTCCTGTATAGTGTCTTCTTCTTTAGTGTCTGTTTTTTTCTCTATTCCCTCGCCACGCAGCAAGGCTTCCAGAGTTGTACTTTCTGATGTGAAGCCATCTTTCTTCAGAGGCAGATCAACTTCTGCAAAAGAAGACACAGAGGCATCACGTACCTCCCTCAGACAGCAACCCAGCAGAAGGACAGAGAAGACAAGTAGAAGACTGACAGACTTTCAGGCTCACTCTTACTTTGAGGATCAGCTCTTCAGGTTCTTCTTTTAATTTCCAAGGTCCCCTCATAGGATTCATGTCTATCTCACTGAAAAACTGGGACCTTTTCAGTCCCTGAGTATGCTTACAGGAAAAAGAGGCTGTACGTATTATACCATGATGGTGCAACAGGAGAAAGGTCCTTCCCCTTTGTGTAAACTCCTTGTGTTTCAAATAAAGAAAAAAAATCGCACACAAAAAAAAGCACCAAGGCTTTCTTAGATAATGAAATAGCAAATATGAAGATGGGGTCTTCTGAATTAGCAAACTAGTTTAATTACACACATCCGCATTTAGCACAGTATACATGGCACAGCTACAAGCAGCATTTTCCTACATCAGGACATATTCCATACGTGAAGAAGTGGAAAGCTTGTATAAACTAGTATAAGGGTCAATGCTGAGATTACAAATGAGAAAACAAAAGGGACGTGTCTTGAATCTTTCCTGAATATCAACACACATTTTTGACTGGAGAAGATGTTCAGTTTGTTTTAAACGGGGCTACACAAATCAAGAAGCATCAGTGAGCAGAGCTAGGAGTTGCATAATGGAGCCTCTAAGACAGGTTGAACCTCAGCCACTGCAGAAGCAGCAAAGGCAGCGAGCTCGGGGCGGGCCTGGGGCGCCCAACTTCAAAGGAAAATGAGGGTTTGTGAGGAGTTCATGCAACTTGCCAACCAGACACAGGGGCAGAGCAGAGCTCCCCCCTGAATGCTATCCTGAGAGTGTGAGATGCAGGACAGCACCAACCTTGGTTGGAGGGAGGTGTGGAATACACTCAGGGAAGAACTCCATCTCCCTGGCCTCCTCCCGACTTGTATGGGTGCTTGTTCAGAGCAACCCTGTGACACAGAGACGTCCCGAATGTCACCCTAGCTTTTGATGCCATGATATGGATTTCTTAAACCTTCCTTCCCTTCTAAAATAAATTCCTTCCACCAGATTTCTAAAATAACAAGGTACAGGACCAATGCTTACAAATCAGCATCTGGTGTTCTGATCTCACAGCTCCATCCACTTCTCCTAGAGCTCTGCTGTGTTTACCAGCCGTTCTGAAGCTCCCTGGAGCTTTCCATCCCAGGAGCTGTATGCTCTCAGCTGTGTCCCAGGAACACATTTGTTCCATATGTGAGAACCCTAAGCCAGCCAGTGGCTGGGGCCCCTGATGAGCGCTTCCACAACCCGCTTGCTTGAGTCTTCTAAAGTGGGAGAGCAGAGCTCAGCCAACAACCACAGAAAATCCAGCAACAATTCCAGACAAAGCCATTCTATTCACAAGCCGTGCAGCAAGCCCAAGCCATTGGGATTTTCAAAGGAACTCCCAGGTCAATCCACACAATGGGAAGGAGTCAACAGTGAACTGACTCCCCTGCTCATCCCAAGCAGTTCTATTCCATCAGGCCTCTGGTTCTGGTACTGAGTTGTGCCTATTCTCCCCCCTTATGCTACCTTCCCCATTTCTCCCTTACTCCAGCTGTAAAAAAGACAGAGGAGTCAAAAGTGAATCATATAGCTTGAAATTCCCTGTATGAAGTCACCATGCCTCTCTCTGGGTGCTAAATCCAGACATTTCAATACAAAGAAGGGACTTCAGATTTGATTTACGTGCAAATCACAACACTTAAGCCTATAGTTACTAAAGAACCTCCATAATCAACTCTGAGGCAAGCTTGGCTTGGTGTCAAAGCCCTCTGTGTGGGTGCCAAAGGGCATTTGTTCAGTATCTGGAACCTTGTGGGACTGCAAAACCCAAGAGGTACCAGATATTCGGCAAGAGGAGAAGTTTCAAACCAGCTGAAGGGCAACAGTAACAAAAACACGGGCTCACCACGACAAGTTCTGCCAGTCTCTGGATATGGATCCATTCAGCAAACGAATGTATTAGAAAAGGGAAGGAGCAAGCCAAGTGGGTTAAGAAAAATGTATATGAAGGTAAAAATATTTCTTGCTTGTTCTAGAGATATTGAACATTAGGGCAGGGGAAAAAGGTAAGCCTTAAGGTCAGAAAAGATCAGCTGTCTTTAAAAACATGTTTGTTTTGTGTGGTCTTCCTACTCCCCACTAGCAACACTCCAGGAGACCTTGCATCCCCACCTCTTGATGCATTTTTTAATTATTAAACTTGACACACCACTGCCAGGCCAGCGCAAGGTAGGTAACACTTTTATTCCTAGTTTACTGACAGGGAGACTGAGCCACTAAGAAGTTAAATTAGTGAGCAGCAAATGACAGGAACAGAAATTCATGGCAGCTGCCTCCCATCCGCACATTTGATAACTGCTATCAAATCCCTGGGCTTCCTTCTCCTCTGGTACCTGCCAGAGGCCATTTGCTTTCTGGAGTAGGTAAGTGTAGACATTGGAAAATGGCAAGCACCACCTTATTTGCAATGTAGAGCTTACAATATAAAATCTGCAAAGGTCCAAGGATAACTTCTTTGTAGTGAATTCAGTCCTTCCTGGAAAGGGGCTAGTCTGTATCGGATACAGAAATGGAGTCAGGAATTAAGTATTTCTGTTAAGAAAAAGCTCTACTACACACAATGTTTCCAAAACACTTTTTGGATCCTCACAGACAAAAGCCTCTAAAAATGTAAAAGACGTTACCCTAGAGAAACAGGTAAACACTACCAGGGCTCACAAAACTCATTTTGCTAAGCCCTTAATATTTTCTTTCCTACATAACTCTCCAGGATTTTCCCAAGAAAGCTAGAAAAGTGGCTTTTTTTCTCTTATGGCCGTATGCTAAAGGTACCTGGGAAGTCAGCTCAGTATCTGAGATGTATTTTCATGTGAAATACCGCGACTTCACCTAGCCCCCTGGAATAGGAGAGAGACCCTTCCAGGACTGAGAAATTAAACTGTGCCCCATGTTGGCCTCTCTCTGCCTCTCACTTTGTTGTGATCCCGCACACAGTTGCATCACATGATGGAGAAGAAGGGCTAAGAGCCTGTCAGGAGAAAAACACAAAGTAAAACAACCTACTCTGATACTACCTTTCATCCTGATCTCTATCACATCAGCCCTGACGGATAAAGGCAATATTACTTTCAAACAGTTATCCTGAATCCGGTTCTTCTGGCAACACACAGAACGGCCCACCTCTTGTTCCATTTTGACATGCTTTTGCCCTCAATGTCTTCCTACAGAGCAAGTTCGGTGATTAAGCTATGGTTTGAAGGCTTTCTTTAGCTCTTTCACTTTATTTTATTGACTGCCACTTTGTTCTTGTTATGAGACAGGAAGAAGTTCCTGACCAAACTTATCCGTCATTTCTTTTTATTCATCTCCTTTCAAAGATAAACAATCACTTTTTTTTCCCCATTACTCTTGCTGTGGGAGTTCTTCCATAAGGCTTTGTGCTATCACCCTCTCATTCTTCGGTACTCTTCCTAATACTCTTCCTGAGACGGACTAATATTGTACCCAACATTTGCAGGTGAAGGCACACACTCCATCTAAGCAAACACATAACCATTTTCTTTACGCTTCCCATAGTATCACCTATGCACATATGCAGCCTAATGCAAAGTCCACAGCTGCACATTGAGGAGAACTAGGAACCTCGTGACAGGGAAAAGCACCCCCATTAAGTAACACTCCATGAGCATGTAACAAACTAAAATGCCCATCCCACTGGGCGCATTGAGATCTCACCAAGGCGGCCCTCAGGGACCTCTCTGGCCCTGACTCCTCACTCCCGCTCTCCACTTTGTTCGTTCCCACATTCTGCAAGAGTGGACTCACTTTGTTTCTCTTTGGAGGCCTATGACATAGCAAAGGTCTTCAGGAGGTCTAGGCAAATTGTCAACATCCTTATCCACTAGTCCTTTCCGGATCATGCAAAGAATTTTATGAGAGTAGGGGAACATGATTTTCCTTTGCAGAAAAAAATGCAGTTAGAACCTCCTATATCTTCCTATCCCAAGCATTTTACTGCTTACTCCCAATTACTCAAATGTGCACGTAGAATTTATTGGTCTTTAAATCCTTGAATCTCACCCAAATCCTTTTTAAATACAGGTAGCAACATTCGCTACCAGCCAATTGTTCTAATGCTTTCCACTGTAACTCCGAGTTTGTAGCACAAGCCCTTCTTCAGGCACTGCAGTTTCAGAGAGCATAATCTTTATTACAGCTAATAACTACTAGTATAAGTAATATGACTAAAAGATTACTGTTTCTAAAAACAGAAATTTCAATAAAGTTTATAGATAAATATCCTTTTGATTAATATTCCAAATACAATAGCACCTGGTTAGCATATAAGATACAGGAAAGGAGAAAGACTGAAAGTCAGAACCAAGGAAAACATGTGTTAAATCAACAAAAATAATCCATAAAAAATAAACATTGTTTGAATGTTCTTCCCATTTTAATAACCCCAGATATTATTGGTGTCGCAGCTAAAGAGTGTACATACATTTGTAATTCAAATACATGTGTGTACATATAATTAAAATTTATGTTTCTTAACTTGGCAGTGTCCCCTTCATAGTGATTAAATTAACACAGTTGTTTCTGTTTACCAGCTTAGTGCAGCCACCTCTCTATTTATCATGGTCCTTAGGCTTCAATGGTGGAAAGTAAGCAATAACCCACGCCAGCTTCATTCCAATATCCGCTTTTTTTTTTTCCAATAACTGCTGCCTCCAAACGAGTCGCATTTGCACAGACCCTACAAAATGGTGAGCTTTGTCAGATTTTGATTCACCAAAATAACTGCATGTCGCCATTCCTAACCATTTAGTTCACATTGCACTGCAGGCTAAACAACTTTTCAGTGTCCCTTTGAATCATAAATTAAAAACAAGCACTCCGTTTTCTATACAATGCAATGTATTTGTTTTACAATGGATCATTTCCATC